TCTATGTCTGTCCAGGGCAAATCAGTTAAAATTAGGCTTAAACTAATCTGGCCAATCAAAATCGTTTTGTTTTTATGTGTTTTTACAGGAAACATGCTCAATCTGGGCTGGTCTTTCACTACTCCAGGAAGCGTAACGGGAATGAAAGGATCATGTATCATCATTCCTTGCAAGTTTTCCTACAGCAAAGCCCAACCGAGTGGCCTCCAAGTTGTCTGGTACTTGTACCAAAGTAATGGACGCGCAGATGTATTCAACCAAAGACAATCAAATATTTTAAGCAGATATAATGGGATAACACATTTGACTGGCTCTGTGTCAGACCGCAATTGTAGTCCTTAAAATAGACCAGCTGGATATGTCTCACAATGAGGATAAACTCTATCCATGGGTTGATATCAACCCAATTACCTCCTACCACTCACAGGGACATTCATTTTTGGATAGAAGCACCAAAATTATGGTTTCAGGTAAGAACACACACACACAACACATAATAAATTTCCCTTCTCACCCACCGCGGTGGTTCTTATCCTCTGAGCTCGGGTCCTCTACCAGAGGCCTGGGAGCTTGAGGGTTCTGCGCAGTATCTTGGCTGTGCCAAGAACTACACATTTCTGGACTGAGATGTCTGATGTTGTTCCTGGGATCTGTTGTAGCCACTGCTCCAGTTTGGGGGTTACTGCCCCGAGGGCCCCGATGACCACAGGCACCACTGTGGTCTTCACCTTCCAGGCCCTCTCCAGTTCTTCCCTGAGGCCCTGGTATTTCTCCAGTTTCTCGTGCTCCTTTTTCCTGATGTTGCAATCACTTGGTATTGCTACATCTACCACAACGGCTTTCCTCTGATGTTTATCCACTACGACAATGTCTGGTTGGTTCGCCATTACCATTTTGTCTGTCTGGATCTGGAAGTCCCACAGGATCTTAGCTCTGGCGTTCTCCACCCTTTGGGGGTGTTTCCCACTTTGATCTCGGGGTTTCCAGTCCATATTCTGCACAGATGTTTCTGTACACTATGCCTGCCACTTGGTTATGTCGCTCCATGTACGCTTTCCCTGCCAGTATCTTGCACCCTGCTGTGATGTGCTGGACTGTCTCAGGGGCCTCCTTGCACAACCTACACCTTGGGTCTTGTCTGGTATGGTAGATCTGGGCCTCTATTGCTCTGGTGTTTAGGGCCTGTTCCTGGGCGGCCAGGATGAGGGCCTCTGTGCTGTCCTTGAGTCCAGCTTTTTCCAGCCATTGGTAGGATTTACTGATATCAGCCACTTGGGTTATTTGCTGGTGGTACATCCCATGTAGGGGCTTGTCCTCCCATGATGGTATCTCTGGCACCTCAACCTCCGTTCCCTTTTGTCTGAGACATTCACTGAGCACATTGTCTGTTGAGGCTTTGTCCCTGATGTATTTATGGATCTTAGTTGTTTCGTCCTGGACAGTGGTTCTCACACTCACTACTCCTCTGCCTCCGTCCTTGCGGCTCGTGTACAGTCTCAGGGTGCTGGATTTGGGATGGAACCCTCCATGCATGGTTAGTAGCTTTCTAGTCTTAATATCTGTGGCTTTTATCTCCTCCTTTGGCCAGCTAATTATTCCAGCAGGGTATCTGATTACTGGCAGGGCATAGCTGTTTATCGCACGGATTTTGTTCTTGCCATTGAGCTGGCTTCTCAGGACTTGCCTTATTCATTGGAGGTATTTAGCTGTGGCTCCTTTCCTTGTGGCCTCATCGAGGTTGCCATTTGCTTGTGGTATACCTAGGTACTTGTAGCTGTCCTCTATGTCTGCTATTGTTCCTTGTGGGAGTGAGACTCCTTCTGTGCGGATCACCTTCCCCCTCTTTGTGATCAGCCGACCACACTTCTCTAGTCCGAATGACATCCCAATGTCAGTGCTGTAGATCCTGGTGGTGTGGATCAGTGAGTCGATGTCTCGCTCACTCTTGGCATACAGCTTGATGTCATCCATGTAGAGGAGGTGACTGATGTTGGCCCCATTTTTGAGTCGGTATCCGTAGCCAGTCTTGTTGATAAATTGGCTGAGGGGGTTCAGGCCTATGCAGAACAGTAGCGGGGACAGAGCATCTCCTTGGTATATGCCACATTTGATGGACACTTGTGCAAGTGGTTTGCAGTTGGCTTCAAGGGTGGTTTTCCACAGCTTCATCGAGTTTGCAATGAAGGCTCTCAGAATCCTGTTGATGTTATACATCTCTAGGCATTCAATGATCCAAGTATGCGGCATTGAGTCATAGGCTTTCTTGTAATCGATCCAAGCCATGCACAGGTTGGTGTGTCGGGTTTTGCAGTCTCGGGCAACTGTGCGGTCTATGAGGAGTTGGTGTTTGGCTCCTCTGCTGTTTACACCGATACCCTTCTGTGCCGTGCTCATGTGTTTATCCATGTGTTTGCTTATCTTGGCCGCCATGATGCCTGACATGAGCTTCCAGGTTGTGGAGAGGCAGGTTATTGGTCGGTAGTTGGGTGGGACTGGACCCTTTGATGGATCCTTCTGGATTAGGATTGTCCGCCCTTCAGTTAACCATTCAGGGTGAGTCCCACTTTGTAGCAGCTGGTTCATTTGGGTTGCCAGTCGCTCTCATGGAGAGCAGGGAGTTTCTTTAGCCAGTAGGCATGGATCATGTCAGGCCCTGGTGCTGTCCAATTTTTCATGCCTGAAAGTCTTTCTTGAACATCTGTCACAGTGATGGTTACCGGGGCTTGCTCAGGGAGGTTGCTGTGGTCCTCTCGTAGAGAGATCAGCCACTGTGCATTGCTGTTGTGGGACGCCTCCCTTTCCCATATGCCTTTCCAGTATTGTTCAGTCTCCAGCCTTGGTGGGTCTGCTCTGTTGTTATTACCCTGCCATTGAGAGTACACCTTATCTGGTTGAGTGGAGAAGAGCCGGTTAATCCTTCTGGATTCATTCTCCCTTGTGTATCTCTTTAGGCGGCTGGACAAGGCTTGGAGCCTCTGTTTGGCAGTTTCAAGTGCTTCAGGTATGGGCATCTGCCTGTACTTTCTGGGTACTGGTCTTTTCATTTTACCCTTGTGGAGCTCTGACAGTTGGCTCACTTCCCTCCTTGTTACCTTGATTTTAGCCTCTAACCGTCTTTTCCATGGTGGGTATTGGGTCTCATGCTTGCTCTTATAGCCAAGTATTTCAAGGATCACTGATGCTGAGTTGTAGATCAGCTCATTGGTTTCTGTTATGGTGTTGGTAGGGATCGTTCTCAATGCTGCATTCACATTCTCAATGAGACTTTCAGATGGTACTTCACTCAGCCGTTGTAATTGGCGCCGAGGAGGTCTGGTTGTCATTCGGGTCATGATTCTCTCTCTCAGGTCAGCAGCTGTCTCGTTCAGCTCTGTTTCGCTCATTGGGGCAGTGTATCCCCTCACTGGGTGGGGACTTGTAGTTAAGTCCTCACAGTCCTGACATCCGGGTTCCTCCCTTTTGCCGTAGCATTTGTGTTGTATCTCGTCAATCTCAAGTTGTGATAGCAGTTGCCGTTTGCGGATGTTGGAACACTGAGCTACTAGTTGTTTAGCGCTTAGTGTTGACTGGGGATGTCGAAGTAACCATTCCTTCCCCAGTCTTTGCATATAACCTCTCTCACTAGGGTTACTTGAGTAGTAGCATTCCAACAGATCCACATTTTCACATATATATATATATATATATATATATATATATATATATATATATATATATATATATATATATAATCCTTCTTTGTTCATCTCAGGTCCAGTTGGTTGATTTCACAACAGACACACTCATTTCTTTTATTTACCAACTCTCAAGAGCAGCATAACAACTTAATGCACAAAATCATGTCTGGGAAAACAACTTCTTGATTAAGCAAAATAAATCTGACAAATATTCATATCTTGTGCAGTTATTCCCATTGCAGCAAGAAACTTGTTTCTGTCTGTCTAGTTAAAGTTGTTTAGGTTAAAATAATGTATGTTAAACTTTTCCTTTCACTCTTTCACCAGTATTTTAAATATCTACATTTTAGTTGGAATCATCATAGATTAACATATTTCTATTTTTATCTTTATAGACCATGCACAAGAACCCCAAATGAGCATCATTGATGTTCCTAAGGTGGGAGCTCAAAGCAGGGTTACCTGTAAAGTGAAATATACATGTTCTTCTGCTCCTCCTGCCCTGTCTCTGAATGGCATTCCTGGAACAGACCGCACCATTGACTCCTTGTTGTCAGACGGCATTTGGGAAAGAACAATAGAACGAACTTGGAATGTAGAAGAAGACCACAAGAAGGTGGAGTGCACTGTGAGATATCCTGGTGGACAAAGTGCCAAAAGTGAGCTCCTCCTGCATGTTGAATGTGAGTATAAATATACATGTTGTGGTTTAAATTGATGAGATTTTTAAGTTTTCTTCACAAGTAAAGTTTCATTTTTTACTTAGGTCCATTTGAAACAATCAAAATGGTTGAACCTCCAGGAGAGCTAACAGAAGGAGTAGCAAAGAGTGTAATTTGTTCTGTGTCCTACAAATGCAAGACAAATACACCAACAATTGAGTGGAACTTTTCAGACATGCTGCATTTACAAAAGCTCAAAAAAATATCCAGTAATACGTATACCACTGAGTCCAATCTTACGTTTATTGGTTCCCTTGAAGACAATGGAAAACCTTTGACCTGCATTGCACATTTTCTTACTGGAGAAACATCAAACTCCTCACTTCTTCAGATAAAAGTGAGTTTTTACATCTAACACACATTGTTTACCACTATAGTTCAAATTAAAATTAGAACTCAGAATTGAAGTTAAAATTTTCAGTGTTTAAATCTGCAGAGCAATACTTGAGACACCAGACGCCTTGGAAGATTTACAGTTTCAAAATGTTGACCAGTAAACAATGACTGCTTTCTTTAATCCAGTTAAACTTATAGCTTTCACTTGGGTTTATTGCTTAGCTACTAATCAAAAATAAATTCATTTATTTATTCATTTTTACAGAATATGTACCAGTTGAAGAAGAACTGAACGAGAAAGATAGTGAGCTCACCTTTCTTTTTCCTTACACCAGACAACTTGCATAAGACACTGATTTCCTGCCTATTTTTCTCTCTTATTGTTCATTATTTCAGATTTAATGCTATCAGTTTTGTGTATCTGTATAATTTTCATGTCTTTTGTATTAAATGTCCTGTATTTTCTGACAGCACCTTTCTAAGTTTAACTGGTCCTCTCGCCCCCAACAGCTTTCCGCGTCCTGGCTGCTGACGTCCCTGGCAGATTCAATGCCTTGACTCGGTCCTGTGTGGTCATCCCCTGCAGTTTCCAGGATGACGAGGATCAGCCCCTGACTCGTGGCATCTGGTACAAAAAAACTGGGGGTCTGGTGTACCACAATGCCCGCAGTAATGTTTTGGACAACTTCAAGGATCGGACCAAAATTCTGGGAAACCTGGATGAAGGAGACTGCTCTTTGGAGATTGACGACATAAAACCCTTTGACAACGGCCCTTTCTGTTTCTATGGAGAGAAAGGAACAAAAAAATACAGATTTAACAACAGCTGCGTTTTTATCGTCATGAAAGGTCAAGAATCCTTACTAATGTTTTACATCATTCGCATGCTGTTTGTGATAAATTTTCTTCCAATCTGAGCAATAGCAAACGTCTTTGTCTTTAATCCTCAGCTTCTCCAGAGAAACCAGTGATGAGTTTAGTTCCAGCTCAAGTGAATGCTGGTTCAACTGTAAATGTCTCCTGTTCTGTCAGTCACTCATGCTCATCACATCCTCCAAAGTTTTCATGGAGTGTCCCTTACGTCAACAACGAGGTTTCAGACACTGAGATGTCACGAGGTGTCTGGAAGACGACGTCCACCATCACGTTTGTGGTTGCTGGAGGAGATGGACAGAGAAACCTGAACTGTACCGCCATCTTCTGGCGTGGAAAGAATGAAACCAGGACTTTCAAATTAATTGTAGAGGGTTAGACTCAACAAATCATTTTTCTTATCAAAGCATTGGACACAGGGAACTGAGAGATTTTCTCATTATGATTATTTTATATCTTTATCTCCAGGAACTACAGTGTACCAGATGCAGAAAGCTATCCCTGTGGTTATTCCTGTTGTCATCTTAGTGCTGATCCTCTTTGCTGTGCTGCTTGGCATATTCTTCTACAGGAAAAGGTGAGTAAACCTCTCAAAATCGACTAATATATGCTTTTGCGTGTATTGCGTGTATCTTTTTGCCTTCAAAAATGAGGCCAATTAGAGTAACTGAAGTTGACCTAAAGAAATTACAATTTTCTCATCACCAGAAAGCACACCGATGGCCCTCTGACGCCTCCGCCAAGACCAGAGAAAAGGCAAGAATTTTACCTCCAAGAACTTTTGTTTAAGTGCTGTGCTAATTTAGCACTTTTGCTCTCTGTTTTGATATGAGTTGTTAGGGGTAAGGTAAGGCAAGAGTTAGGGGTAAGGTAAGGCAAGGCAAGGCAAGGCAAGGCAAGGCAAGGTAAGGTAAGGTAAGGTAAGGTAAGGTAAGGTAAGGTAAGGTAAGGTAGGGTAGGGTAGGGTAGGGTAGGGTAGGGTAGGGTAGGGTAAGGTAAGGTAAGGTAAGGTAAGGTAAGGTAGGTAAGGTAAGGTAAGGTAAGGTAAGGTCATGTAAGGTAAGGTAAGGTAAGGTAAGGTAAGGTAAGGTAAGGGTTGTTTTAAATCCAATTTGCTGTTCATGGACAAAATTAAGAGAGATGTCTTGCCTGTCAATCTAAACATCTTGATTCAAATATTATAGATATTAATGATCTTACATGCTTGGAATTAGAAATTTATACAGCTCTACTTTACACTCATATTCACTCTCAAATGTAACACTGTGTCACTGATATTTACATCTGTGTTCTTCCACAGGGATGTAAACATCCCCCATACACAAAAGATCTCTTTGGGGTAGATTAACCAGATGAATTGAATTAAACGTTTTACTCAGTTTCTTTTTGTTTTTGCACAAGCAAATAGTAAATCCAAAACCATTTTAATACCTATAGGACTTACTTTGAGGGAGATAGAGAGAAACCTCCAAGGCCAGAAAAAAGGTGCACAACCAAAAAGCTTTTTTGAAATTGCAGTTGAACACATACTAAAAATTAACAAATGTTTCTGTGCAGGAATTCAGTTTGGAGAAGGTTTTCTCGGTAAGATCAACAAAAGGCAAATTCTGCCCTTTTAATCCTCAGTTCTGATGTTTGCAACACTATTATTTTCAGACAATCAGAGGACGGTCAAGTCGGCTGGCAGATCACCAGGTAGGAACATTTTCTGTTGTTAAATCTCCTCATTGTCAATGTTAAAGTTGCTACTACTTGAATGTTTCTTTTACAGAAACTCTTTCTGGAATAGATTTTCAAGGTAATAATTTTATGTTTATTACAAACAAAAATATCAGACATTAAGTGATTAAAAAATTAAAAGTAGACTAAGAACAACGTGTATAATTGTTGCAGACGCCCAAACAACTCGACTGACCTCAGAGTCAGTTATTTGTAAGTTTTCAGCCGTGGTTTCAAAAATTTTATAATGAGCAGAAATGCTGAAAATGTGATATTGTGAAATATGTTTTTGCTCCTAGAAATAATGCAGAAGTGTTCGTCTGTGAGAAAAAATCAACAAGCAGTATTATCCATCACCAAAGAAGTGAGGAGAACAACTCTATATTTCAGGCTTCAAAAGACTGCTGCGATTATTGTGGTTCTTTATTAATTATCTTGTTTCGCTCATCCAGTAACCAAAGACGACCTGCGCCGCCCACACCAGAGGTCAGTTGCATTGTTCATTGAATTTTACCATTTACAGCTGTTGAGAGGATGTTTCAGTCAATTTTTCTTGATACACATTAAAAATAACTATTTTCCCTGATGATCAACTTTCCAGTCTAAACTCTTAATCTCTGAGCTTTTATTGTTTATGAAACGATGATCTCTTATTAGATCAAACTTCAACATTTTTGATAATATTCGTCAAAAGCCTTTGGTTTTACAAGAACATATTTCCTGTACGGTTCATAGAGTACAATACAAGCACATAAAGTTTATTAAGCAATAATGAACCAATTAAATATTTTTTCTTTACAGGATGTTAACCTGTACGGCAACATTTGAGTAAACAGTCTGAGGATCGATTTGGATGCGCTTGCTCTTCTTCTGCTGCCAAGTTTCAGTTTATAGTTCACATTCATAATCATGTTATTCTCACTTCCTCTGCTTTTCATTTCAATTGTAGACTTTTACTTTTCATTTCAGGAAGAAATAAACAGTAATGAACCACTAATGCCTCATTTCTCTATTCTCTGCCATGAAGAGAATACATGGCAGAGTATTCTCTTCATGTGGATAAAGGAGTGTCACACAAGATGGATTATGATATATGTGTTTGTGTGTGTGTGTTCCCTTTTAAATAACATGAATAATATCACATTGTATGTTTTTTCTCATTTTAATAGCTCAAAAAATTCTTGAATATTACAGATGAAAATAAATCCTTTTATTTGGCAACTGAATGAGGAATGTTTGTTCATTTAATTTCTGCTTTTACTCTTAAAGTTGTATTATTTTAGATAATGACAATCCACTTTTAAACTTATGAAAAAAAGACAAACAGATTGAGATTTATTCCACAACAGAAATATTGAAAATAACTTGCAATAGACAGCTTTGTGTTGATGTATGTTTGTGGATCTTCTAAGATAACAAGACCAGAAACATCAGCGACACAAACAACAGCAGCAGGCCAGCACTTGCACCGCTGGCGCTGTTGCAGTAGTCTCCCTGGCAGCAGCTGCTTCCTTGTAAGATAAAGGTTTAAAAAACTCTGATGCGTATTCTGGGCACATCGTCTTGGAAGCACAACCCTTCAAGGTTTGACTTGTCCCTCCTGTGTTGACTGTGAGAGTGAAAAACAGAGGCATTAATGTGGGCCACATGTTTCATCTTAGAACCTTACAATATTCATAAGAAGATGAAGCTTTGAACTTAGAAAAGGAAGCAGAAGTCTCACTTGTTGATTTGATGCAATATTCCTCATCATTCTTACAGTTTTCAGTTCTAACGCACTGTTGACCTTCACAGCTGTAGCACTTTTTACCATTTGGATTGAACTTAGGCCCTGAAATACAAGAAAAAGCATGCAGAGATCTTTGCAGCATGGACTCCCAACTTAAAGGTCAACTTGTTTATAGAATTTTGGATTAACTTATTTTTCATGGACAAGAATCTGTTATTATAGTGTAGATGCTTTCAGTAGAATAGCAGTAGGTGCTGAACACATGAGTGATGAAACCGCTGCATGGTTACAAAATACAACTTTAAAATGGTTCAAATTACCAGAGGGATCTTTGGTGTTGCACTGAGATGTGGTGCAGCACTCGCTCACAATAACAGTTTTCTGAGATCCAAAGCTGACTGAGCCTCCAACACAATCTCCAGGTTGAAAGCACTGTTTAGATTTGGTCTCATTGTCTGCAGAACCACCTATAATTAAAAGTAGAAATTGGAACTCTTGCAGACAAGGTGACACAAATCAAATTGAGATTGCAGAAAAATACCTGTGTATCTTATTATTTTCACTGCTGCACATTGATTATCCTGTGAGGGGCATTGCACTTTGGTATTGCAGCCTCCAGATGTTTCCGGTACACACTTGTAACATTCCAGGGTGTTGGCTGGTAATAGAATCGGTAAGTGTTAATATGTCTAAAAGATTTTCTTTTTTTTTAATCTTTGGTTTTAATCCTTTCTCAAAAACACAGTAGACATAATGTAGAAATGTAAAAAGAAAAACTACTCCAACAATGTTTCTAGGCTTTTAGGTCAAATACTCAGAAACAATTAAAATAAAAAAATTACAACACAATTGATGTAAGTCTGATAAAATTAAACATATCAATGCAAATAACACAGGTTAAAAAACTTGCCTTTCGGAAGAAGCCAAATGCCGGCAAACAGTACAACAAAGTGCAATTTGTGAAGAGACATCTTCCTGACTGAGTAAGCTTGAATCTCCTCTGTTCATTTCATATGTGGTTCTCCTGAGTAGGCTGGCCACTTGGCCTCAGACCACTCCCATTTCTCCTGTGCATATGGGTGTGGAAGAGAGACAGAGAGCGGGAGAGAAAGAGAAAGGCAGCAAGAGAAAAAATGTCATCCACACTTTTACAGTCAAAACTTAATAATCAAAGTTTTGTGAAAATGAAATAGAACAAATAAAGACTGTACAAAACAAAATCAAGTATCTGAAAAAAAATTTATACTGTTCCAGTTCAGGTACCATGAATAAAACCAATATCAACCTGAAAATGAGAAACATTGTCTCTGGGAGAGATCTGCTCATGATCCCAATCTATCAGTTCATAGGATTAGAAAGGAGTAATCCACAAACAAGGATTACCAACCTAGAGCAGAAACAACTGCTGAACTCCAAACGTCACGTTCTTTCAGGTTGTGTCTGCAGACAGCTTCATAAAATGGGTTTCCATGGTTGAGCAGCTACATCCAAGTCTTACTTCACTTTGAGCAACGCAACTGATTAGATGCAGTGATTTCAAGCATGCCACGCCCCATTTTTGTGGTGTAGCCTGGACTTGTGGCAATCTGGGAACATAATTTATTTTCTTTTAAAAATGACATCCTTCCAGATTTGTGGAGCACACATAACTCATTTTCACCCATTGTTGAATTATAGATTATTGCAGCCATGCTGGGTTACCATATGCTTTATGTTTTTCAGAACTACTCTTTTAGCCTGTTTGTTGGTAGAAGGACAGCCATGCCTTGGATGGACCATTTTGGACCACTTTACTATGGACACCTATAATTATATGAATAGATTATGCTTAAAATGTCAAAATGTGATACTGACTACATTATTGTTTTTCACTTATATGTTCAATTCTGTGCAGTTCTTCTTCTGTTAGTCTTGTGGGTTTGTGACTACAGAGAACCCCACTAAACTATACGGCAGGGTTGCTCACAGTCAGCATCCACCATAAAGTGTTCACACCACATGCAACAAGTGAACACGTTTTTTAAATGCTTACACTTTACCATGAGACCAGCTAGACTCAAAACAAAAATGATCAACACCTTAATGTTACTTATTAACAGCTTTACACACTGGAACACACATGCACACACAAAGAAAATGAAACCTCTTGCCAACTCAGCTTTATCACCCTAAAACATGGTAAAAGTATTAATTTCCAGTGCTGCTAGCTTCATTGAGCATATTACTTTTTGAGAAAAAGTCAATGTAAAAAAAAAATACAAATTGGTTGACAGAAAATGCATAAAAATGATAACTCTTAGACTACAAGTCCATTACAAATGGCAAAAAAGTGCCTCACTTGCAAACAACAGTTTCATTAGAACCTTTTTGTGAAGGAAATGGAAACTGCTGCCTGAAAATAACAAGAGGCCAACATGTTTTTGCATACATCTATCCACAGAAATTCTATGTGCAGATCCAAACATGTTAATGTAGTGAATCAGACAATCTTGTCCTGGTTTGAAATTGCATGGTTCCTCACCCTGGCATGCTGAAATGCTATAAATGTGCACTAAATCATGTTGAAACTTGAGCTGCGAAAACAACAGAATGTCCTTCGTAGAACTTTAAATGTTTTCTTACTGCAATTTTTGTTGGTCCTTCTCTGCCTCATTTGAATATATGTTATGAGATTAAAGGTAGTAGGAAAATTGTTAACATCAAGCCCAAAGACTACATTATGCCTATACAGTGTCTTGAGAGATCAGTCAAATTTGGAATTGTAAGATCTGTGCAAAGGTCTGCACTACAAAGCTCTGCAACACCCAAACACCTGGCAATTTACACCAAGATGTTTTTTTTTTCTAAATCATGACAGCACTATAAAAATTGTAATACTTTACCTCGTAGGAGTCAGTGGACTCCTATGAGATCCACTCATAGGAAACTCCTATGAGTCTGTTCCTACACACAGACTTGTAGGAATGAAAAAAAGCTATGTAGTACTGTTAGCTTTAATGTGCATATGTTTTGGGATAACATAACATTTTTTGAGCAGAGATTTGACATAATTCTGTCTGTATTTAAATAGAATAACTATTTTCCCATTACAAATGGGAAAAAGTGCTTCAGCTGCAATGCACAAAAGTTTATTATACCGCTTTGCTGAAAAGCCTGAAAGCAGCAAGTAAAGAGGGCAACATGTTTTTGCATGTTGGCCTCTTCAGACTGTAACAGACAGATCCACACTCATCTTTTGCTGTGAATGTAGGAGAAGAAAGTCAGGCATTGAAGGGCTAGGCCTCCAAGGTGATGACCTCAAATAAACTCCATTGGTGAAACAATTCATAATTCATTTGACAACTTTATTCTGCTTCACTTCAGCTCATTCATAATAAACCTAAAAACATGGGTAACAAAAACCAAACAAAATTTGGTAATTAACGATATCCTTAATATTTCTTTACTGTTTTTGTTGCTTAGTAAAAAAAACAAAAAAAGCTTATGAATAAAAACAAAAAAAGATGACATTTTGCATTCATTGCCCTTTTGATACTAAATGTTGCTATTTTGAAATAAATGAGTCAATGTGATTGAAATGTGAAATATTTTACAGACATTTGCTCCGTTTTTAATAAAATGCTGAAACATCTTAGTGGATGACTGCTGAAATGAGTAAAACATTTACTCTGTGCTTACGACACCACACTTTCTGATTGGCTACCTGTAACAGTCAACAGGCTGCGTTCTCATTCCCAGTGACTGGCTGCGATAAAAGGGCCAAGACAATGTTGACTATCCCCGATTTTATGTCGGAGTTGTCCCAACACAACACAGAATAGGTCAGAACATTCTAAGATTGTCATAAGAGGAAAATGATGGCAGGAAATGGAAAATTGTGTCATGTGACACTCCCAACAAACTGCCCTCTCCATCCCCAGTTTAATTGGCCGAAGAGTCACTTAAAATCGTAGTTTACTAAGATGTGTTTGTGAACAAACAGAGCTAAAACTCAAAGATTTAACTGACAGCACCAGATTGTGGTTGAGGTAACAAAACAGTCTAATTATAAATATTGTTCTTTGAACTCTTACTAAGTAAACATGCCAGCTTTGTATCTTCAGGCCAGTTCTAAATGTGATCAGCATTATATTGTGCTCTTGGATCGACGACATGATGACTTAATTTGGATTTAACAGAATTGCAAATCACTGACATATTTTTTTTTATTGTACTTTTTTTTTGGGGGGGGGGGATTCTATAGTTTTGGGTTTAAGTATTGTCTTCAAGTAACTCAATTACACAGTAATATCTTATGTTTCCTGTCAACAGCTATGGTGCCCCAACCCCTAGTCTTCGAACGTTTTCTGAAGTCAAACCCTGCACATGCCATGCAATGTTGCAGTTTCTCACATTCTGTTGTGTGTAGGTTGGAAGGTCTGTAAAATAGTATAGTTGTATCTTTGGCAGATGATGAATTGCTGCATATTTGTTGGCTCCGTGTTGATACAAATATTCCACCTCACAGCATCCCAAATGTTCTTTAAAGGATTGAGATTTACTGACTTGGAGTGTTACGGGCACAAAGGCCATCAAAGAAGAATGAGTGGATACAACACCAGTAACCATTTGAAGCACTTTAGAGGCCTTTATTTTTAAAACACGAGTCAAGAGCATGTGGGCACCATCCCAGACATGTAGACAGAAGCCCAGGCATGTTGGCATATACCTGGGAACCACTGAACTGACATGTGCACGCCTCCTTCTGGCCCTCTGTCGTGTGCAGTTCTCCTTCAAACATGGACCCATTGGCCCCTTCAGGTGTAGGCAACTGCTCCAAGGTGTGGACCTCCTTCAAGTGTGGGTGAGTGGCTCCTCTCCATGCCTGTGTGTCTGTCTCAAATCTCCACTTGTCTCACACTGCTCACTCGTTGGCCATGTGGAACAGAAGCCCTAGGGCCAAATAGACCAAAGTCCCCATGTGACTTTAGGACCCTCACATTCTGGTACCTTAATGGAAGCACAGTTAGCAGTCACAGGAGGGCATTGGAGTACAGTGAATTCATTGTCATTTTTATCAGTGAAGAAGATTATTGACTTTTTATAGGGAGAAACTTCTGGCAAAACCGTACTTGGGATAACTGTCTGTGTCCTAGAAATACCTGATTCCTTTGGTAGCCCTTCATTGAAAACCTACACATCTGGTGTTTAGGGCCAGGAACAGGCCCTAAACACCTGAGCAATAGAGGCCCAGATCTACCACACCAGACAAGACCCAAGGTGTAGGTTGTGCAAGGAGGCCCCTGAGACAGTCCAGCACATCACAGCAGGGTGCAAGATACTGGCAGGGAAAGCGTACATGGAACGACATAACCAAGTGGCAGGCATAGTGTACAGAAACATCTGTGCAGAATATGGACTAGAAACCCCGAGATCAAAGTGGGAAACACCCCCAAAGGTGGTGGAGAACGCCAGAGCTAAGATCCTGTGGGACTTCCAGATCCAGACAGACAGAATGGTAATGGCGAACCAACCAGACATTGTCGTAGTGGATAAACATCAGAGGAAAGCCGTTGTGGTAGATGTAGCAATACCAAGTGATTGCAACATCAGGAAAAAGGAGCACGAGAAAATGGAGAAATACCAGGGCCTCAGGGAAGAACTGGAGAGGGCCTGGAAGGTGAAGACCACAGTGGTGCCTGTGGTCATCGGGGCCCTCGGGGCCCTCGGGGCAGTAACCCCCAAACTGGAGCAGTGGCTACAACAGATCCCAGGAACAACATCAGACATCTCAGTCCAGAAATGTGCAGTTCTTGGCAGAGCCAAGATACTGCGCAGAACCCTCAAGCTCCCAGGCCTCTGGTAGAGGACCCGGGCTCAGAGGATAAGAACCACCCGCGGTGGGTGAGAAGGGAATTTTTTTTATATATATATACTTTTAAGTGCATATGAAAACAGAACTAACAATACCAAGAATAGCAGAAACTTTTTGATAATGTGCAAGTAAGCAGCACAACTTTGTCAAAATGTACATAACGTGCATATTGAACTGTAAATATATAACAGGAAATGTACAATCCAGTGTGTCGGTGTAGAGAAAGCGCTCTGCAGTAATAACGGAAATGTTTTTATCAAACATGTCTAAAAAACTGTGCAATAGTTTTTGAGGCATGTAAATGCCAGTAGGGAAGTAAACATTTCTTGATTTTGTTTAGAGCAGTGATTTGATTGACTAATTTAACAGCAGAATTTATTTTTTCGTACCTTAATTTTTTAAATGCTTTAAATGAATTTAAAAGAGGCAGAAATGAATTGTGGGCAGGTTCTGTGGAGCATTCTGATGTCACATAAGCTGACTTGTCATCAGGCGCTTTGGAACTTTTGTCAATAAGAGCCGAGTTCCTACAGGAATTCATCCATTTGAAGAGTTAGACGTCGGATAGATTACTTCAAAAAATTCAAGAAATTGAACTGAGCTTCAGTTTTTCGAGTAAGTATTTATTTAGAAATTAGTGAAGCACAGAAAAAAATGACATTTTGTGCTAGTATTTTGAAGGAAGTGTGCAGCAATGTTGAAAATAAGTTGAGCAAGACAAGTTGTTAGTAATCAGTTTTTTTAGCTCAACATCAAAACAATTTGAGTAACTTTTTGATGTAAACATTAAATGTCTTATTTGTGTTTTTAGCACCTTTGTTTGCATTTTTGCAAACTTCTCTGAGTATTGAAACAGCAGAAAAATATTAAGGAGTTCTACTTGCAAAAAAAAGTTTCCTTTAATTTTTATGGATGGTTGGTGATTTTCACACATGAAATGATTAATTTGATTTGATAGGTAACTAAATGATGTTCTGATCAACATTAAATGAAGTTTTTGATATATTACATCTTTAAATTTACAGTGTTTACGAGGAAAATGACTTTCACTGTAGAGTTGTGTTGGTACATTTTGGACATGCTTTGTACCAAAATGTACCACTTTTGCATGTCTTTGGTTTTTTACAGTCATGCTAAGAAGAAGTGAACGTTTGAGAAACAACGGATACTATGATATGGATGGACAACCTGTTATTTCATACAGGGAGACGCCAATCAGGTAGATCAAATCAGCAATTTTCATTAAGTCATATGTTTCATGTAGTCATCTGCTGATCAGTGTACATTTTAACTCACTTGTATATTTTTCATCTAGGGCCATAAGGAGGCGCTTAACAGGTCGTCCTGCAAACCACCCTGCAGTCACATTTAGACAGAGGTCACATTATTCTGGTGACAATGTGATTGACAGAGAAAGACAGATGATGATGACTCTGTTGCAGGGTGGTTTTGATATATCAGTCTTTGTCTTTCTCATCTTTGTCACTTTTGGTAAATACTCTCCTACAAACAGTCAATTTGGAAGTGTTACAGAAAGTCTGTATTTTTAAATTTTTTCTCACTGTTGTCTTCTGCTCATGTTCATCAGGATGTATTTGCTGTATTATTTCATTCCACTCACGATCTTCAGAGTTGTCTCTCACAACTCTAACAGACATGGTAGGCTTTCTCTTCCTAATCTTAACACTGATTTAATTATCATGATCAAACATGAGAACAAGCTGTTAATTTTTATGTTGTGCACAGGTTACGATCTTTGGACGCAAGGATCAAAGACATCTCTCCAACCTGGAGCTCTTGGAGCAGAAGGTTGACTACCTTCTGCCACAAGCAGACCTGTGGCCCAACTTTGCTCTGGAGTCTCAAGGCGAGCCATTACAAATAAGATCATCAACTAGATTTCAAATTTTCAGTATTAAAATTTTCTAACTCACATTATTTCTGTTTTTGTGTTTTGTGTACAGGAGCAAATATTTTACACAAGATGACCTCAGAGGCTTATGACATCAATAAAGAAGTTGGAAGGTTTGGGAAATTGTTCAAGAGACCTCCTATTGGCCCAGGCATTGTTATTAAGGTTTGAATGATGATCAGATCATTAAAAAAATAAAAGTGGTGTTTCTTGGTGATATATTATTAGGCTTTATGATTTACTTTTCTCTTAGTCTTGGTACCCCACTTAAATTTTGTTCTCTGTTTTCAGGGAAAAAATCGTCTGCAACCTGGAAAATGCTGGGCCTTTCCAGGTTTCCAGGGACGTTTGGGCGTCTCACTTTCACACCCAGCCACCATCAGACATGTGTCCCTGGGTCACATTGCTAAGACTGTGTCCCCAACGTCCTCTGTCTCTAGTGCTCCCAAAGAATTTTCTGTATATGTAAGTCAAATAAAATGAGTGACAAAAGTGTAATATAGATATAGCCATGTATAGTATATATTAAGTATACATTCAAAATGTGATAGCATTGATTCCATATGACATTGCTTGATCTCATTCTAAACCATGCAAACTTTCTGTCTGCACTAATGAATTTTCTGTTTATCTCAGGATGTGATATGTTTTCTGATACACCAACTAACTTTCACATATCTTGAAAGAACAAGATAATGAACTGGATTTTTATCTAATTTTGTCTCAGGGAGCAAAGAATTTAGAAGATGAGGAAACTCATTTGGGAACTTTCCAATACGATGAAGATGGAGACCAAATACAGACCTTCAAACTTCCTGTAAATATGTCAAATTAATGTTTTATTAACCAAATACAGTTCTCTCAGAAGACCAGACTTACCTACCCTGTTATAAATATTGATATATTGAAATGATGATCATATATTCTAACATACAATCATAAGGTTCTTCACTGGGTATTACTAGCATTCAATTTAAAAACATACTTTGAATAAAGTACCGTATTATTGTTTCATTCAAAAGGCTTCAATGAAAAACTCTACTTAAACCATAAAAATGTATGTTAATCTTGCACTTTCAGAGTAGTGGTAACTGATAAAAAGCATTGAAAAATTAATCAATTAGTTAAGTTGTCTAGAAATAGTGCCTAAATGTAATGCAGCCACATTAAGCTTTGTTATTGAACCATAACTATTCCAAAACACAGAGATACAAAGTGTTTAACTTGAACAAATGGAAAAAACTGTAGATTTATTTGGCCATCTATTAAGGAGGAAAATATTGTTGTCTTGGCATAAATCTCGTTGAGACTTTTATTACATCATGGCAACAAAATACAAAAAGTCAACCTCTTATTATTAAGATGTGGGAGATTCTTCAATCAACACGGAGACTCTGATTTCTTTTACTGAACATTTCTGTTCAGTTTTTATTGAGGAGAAAAAGTGACAGCTGATCACAGCTGTTTGTTACCTAGCAACCAAAATCAACAGAAGCAAGACAGTGACGAAATACAGAACCACATCCGGTTTAGCATTCTTCAAAATAAAAGACTTCCTCTATTCAAATAAATTATGCCTCGCACTTAAATATATTTCACTGTAGCTTTTGTAATTATTTGCAATCATGTTAATTTAAATAAATAATGATCATCATGTAAATTATGCTCAACATACAATTGTAAGGAAGTGACTTAAAATGCAAATTGTACTTAACAAATAAATAAAAGTGTAAAAAAGTCACAACACTTTTCACAAAACAATTTTTTGTCTCTGTATAACAAACAACAAAATCCCAGTGTTACTACAGAACATTTTGTTTTCTGGTTAGCAAGATATCAGTATAATTACCTCGCTATCTTGAGATAAACTATGCAAAATGTATTTACAGCAAGGAAAGTTGAACTAGGCTTCCATCAGACAGACCTCCTTTGTTTCTATCATCTATTTGCAACTATGGATTATCAATCTAACCTCCCTAATTTATATCTCTCTTGCCTTACAGGCCGATAAAGTTGGTTCCTTCCGTCATGTGACTCTAAAGGTGAACAGCAACTGGGGTCATCCGGACTACACCTGCCTCTATAACTTTAGAGTGCATGGAGAACTTGCAAAATGACGAGGAGAAATGGATGAGATATGGAGAAAACTATTTTTTTACCCTTTGATATATCTCTTTTGTATATGTTTACACAATTAATTTTAATTCCTCACAAAAAGTCCTCAGTCAACCATAAGTAGCACAATGGCACAGTTAGTAGCACTGTTACCTTTCAGAAAGAGGTTCAGACGTAATAAAAGTGGGATTTGTGGGTTTTCTCCGGGTGCTCCGGCTTCCTCCCTCAGACATTTTATTATTGGCACGTGTGGGTTCTCTATGGAAGCTCCAGCTTCCTCCCACAGAAATAATAAAAGTAGGATTAGTGGGTTCTCTCTGGGTGCTCCGGCTTCCTCCCACAGACATTTTAAAATTGGCACGTGTGGGTTCTCTATGGAAGCTCCAGCTTCCTCCCACAGAAATAATAAAAGTAGGATTTGTGGGTTCTCTCTGGGTGCTCCGGCTTCCTCCCACAGAAATAATAAAAGTAGGATTTGTGGGTTCTCTCTGGGTGCTCCGGCTTCCTCCCACAGAAATAATAAAAGTAGGATTAGTGGGTTCTCTCTGGGTGCTCCGGCTTCCTCCCACAATAAAACTTTAACTGTTCGGTTAATTGGTCTGCCCAAAATCTCCTCAGCTGTGAATATGTGCTGCATGGTTGACAACATAACGATATAAACTTTCTGATAACATTAACATATTCAAACATAAACTCCTAATCAAATTGAAAGATTGTCTGTCCAGGATATGGGAATACAGCAACATGATTTTGTAGATAATGATGCACTAACACAATTCTTTAAGTTCTTTCACAGATATTGAAGTTTAACTTTTTGTTTCATGTTATTCTTTCGGGACTGATTCCAGTGAGAGGTAGTTTACTGCTACAGGTTCAGACTATTTTCTGTTAATATCTATTGTATAGACTTTCCCAGATCTACCTTTTGTAACATGTGTATTGTAAACTAATATTGTAATTGAATCTGTCTTTCTTTCAGAAGGTTTGTTGACAGTTTTGTGTTTGTGTTTTTTATTTTTGCCCTCTTGAAGCCAGCCAGCCTCGGCAGATGGCTGCTCATCCTGAGCCTGGTTCTGCTGGAGGTTTCTTCCTTTAAAGGGAGTTTTCCTCTCCACTGTTGCCTTGTGCTTGCTTAGGATGGGGGATCCCTTGGATTAAACATCCATCGCGATCTGCTGGTGACCCCTCCGCAGAATCGCCACCTTAACGTGGTGGAGGGGTTTGAGTATCCCCATGACCCAGATGGAGATTTTGTCTTGGGGTTCAGCCAATAGTGAGGCTTCCCAGGGCAGGCTGCCATTGGGGAGGGATCAGACTAAGAGCGATTCAAGGTTTTCAATGAAGGGCTACCAAAGGAATCAGGTATTTCTAGGACACAGGCAGTTATCCCAAGTACGGTTTTGACGGAAGTTTCTCCCTATAAAAAGTCAGTAATCTTCTTCACTGATAAAAATGACAATGAATTCACTGTACTCCAATGCCCTCCTGTGACTGCTAATTGTGCTTCCATTAAGGTACCAGAATGTGAGGGTCCTAAAGTCACATGGGGACTTTGGTCTATTTGACCCAAGGGCTTTTGTTCCACATGGCCAACGAGTGAGCAGTGTGAGACAAGTGGAGATTTGAGACAGACGCACAGGCATGGAAGGTTCTGGCTCAATACTTGGAGAGGAGCCACTCACCCGCACTTGAAGGAGGTCCACACCTTAGAGCAGTTGCCTACACCTGAAGGGGCCAATGAGTCCATGTTAGAAGGAGAACTGCACATGACAGAGGGCCAGAAGGAGGCGTGCACATGTCAGTTCAGTGGTTCCCAGGTATATGCCAACATGCCTGGGCTTCTGTCTACATGTCTGGGATGGTGCCCACATACTCTTGACTCGTGTTTTAAAAATAAAGGCCTCTAAAGTGCTTCAAATGGTTACTGGTGTTGTATCCACTCATTCTTCTTTGATGGCCTTTGTGCCAGACATGCAACATTGCATGGTGTAACCCACAAGGAAAGTTACTTTAAATACACCTGATAATAGTAAGTGGCATGTAATTCAATTTACTTCTCTGACTTATACTAATACTCTTGAAGCATATTTGAAAAAGTTGGGCCTGATCAAAAGATTCTAAATTCTAGGCAGCCTAGCTGTGAATAACAAGGGAGTGCACAAAGTGTCAATAAGAAAGAGTAAAATTAATCATATAAACAATTTAGTTTCATGTACAATTGAAACAAAATTACGTACGTCTTTTTTTAAAAACATAAAATAACAGTCTTTTTAATGTATCAGTCAATTCAGTGTTTGTCTAGTCTCTTCCAATGTGTCAGTCAATTCTCTTCAGTTTTTCAAGGATAGTGACCAGTCGGGTCACTATCTACCATATCACTGGGTTCTCTGGGCTGAGGCTCGCCATGCGAATTCAGAAAAAGTGGTTCTTGAGGTCACTGGGCACTCCAGGTCAAAAGTGCACCGAAACATAAGAAAGAAAAAAAACAACAAAAAGCCTGATCTGGAACAAGGCCAAAGTAAAACATCTGAGAATATAAGATGCCAATATCAATTAAACCTATGTATCAATAAATTATGTTATAATCCAGAAATCTTCCATCATTGCTCAAGTTTTTCTTTTCAGCTTGTACAAAAATCGTCAGTTTACCAGAATACAATGTTACTTACACATCAGTAAAACGAAAGAAATTAGCTTAATATGTGGACAAGAAAAATAATATTAAATAATAATAATGATATATTTCAATCAAAAAATAAGTACAACTACAAAGAAAAAATATAATATACACAACAATAATAATACAAAATTTTACAGTACCATTTTATTTTTATTGAATCTGGTCAGATTTTTGCCAAATTTCAACCAATTTACTGAGCCAACTGCCGAGCACGTGCGGTCACTCACCGATAGCTAACGGGGATGTTTTTCCCCGTCTCAGCTGCTCTCAAAGGAGACTTTCAGAGATAAAACAACAACAACAAAACAAATTCACTATTTTCAATTATAAATGTTGCGAAATTATGCTAATATTTTTATTTTTACCGTTTGTCTAGATTTTACAAGCTATTTCAGGCTCTAACGAAAACAAGGGTCAGCTGTTTGTTCTCAACCGTGTCTGACACGTTCTGAGCAGAATCCCAGCGCCGTAGTGAAAGAGGCGGGACAATCAAACGCCATTGGCTGATATAATATCAGACCAGGCCAGCCATTGGTTGTCAAATCCACCAGTAAAACAACCACTTAAAGGCCTATTTCACAGATTTTAAAGAATTTTAGCACTTTCTGATATTTCTGAGTAAAACAAAACATAAAATCTATTTATACTTTTTAATCTTGTAAAAAAAACGACATTAAATTAACTTCATAAACTTTTTACTCTTTTTAACACTGGCTTACAATGGCATGTGCACGGTTTTCTTCAGAAAACATTCTAAGCCCAGGGGGTTGAGGCACCAAGGCTGTTGACAGGAAACATAAGATATTACTGTGTAATTGAGTTACTGGAAGACAATACTTAAACCCAAAACTATAGAATCCAAAAAAATATATAACATACAGAAAAAAATACAATAAAAAGAAATATCAGTGACTTGCAATTCTGTTAAATCCAAATTAAGTCATCATGTCGTCGATCCAAGAGCACAATATAATGCTGATCACATTTAGAACTGGCCCAAAGATACAAAGCTGGCATGTTTACTTTGTAAGAGTTCAAACACCAAAGTTTGAAAAGTTATAAATTCTACATTCTTTCATGGAAACTTGTTCAAGCATGAAAGAAAGAAAAAAAAACCCATAGGTTAATCTAACGTTTATAGTAGTTGACGGAAAAAAGTTGCCAGCAATAACATGTAAACTTGGTAAAAAAACTACAAAAAATAATTTACAAATGGTTTATGCATAAGGGGTGAATGTTAATTAGCAATTTTTATTACTGTAATAATACTAAACAAAGAAAATCTTAAAACGTAAAATATAATTAACTTATGCTCTTTAATTCCCTAATGTAATTATGTTATAAAATTACATAATTATAATTTTTTTTTTTATAAAAACAAATCAGAAAGTTCAGCATTCAAATAGAAATATTTCTTCTTTTCTTTTAAGGAAAGAGGATGGTGTTTTGACGGAAGTTTCTCCCTATAAAAAGTCAGTAATCTTCTTCACTGATAAAAATGACAATGAATTCACTGTACTCCAATGCCCTCCTGTGACTGCTAATTGTGCTTCCATTAAGGTACCAGAATGTGAGGGTCCTAAAGTCACATGGGGACTTTGGTCTATTTGGCCCAAGGGTTCTGTTCCACATGGCCAACGAGTGAGCAGTGTGAGACAAGTGGAGATTTGAGACAGACACACAGGCATGGAAGGTTCTGGCTCAATACTTGGAGAGGAGCCCACTCACCCACACTTGAAGGAGGTCCACACCTTGGAGGAGTTGCCTACACCTGAAGGGGCCAATGGGTCCATGTTAGAAGGAGAACTGCACATGACCGAGGGCCAGAAGGAGGCGTGCACATGTCAGTTCAGTGGTTCCCAGGTATATGCCAACATGCCTGGGCTTCTGTCTACATGTCTGGGATGGTGCCCACATACTCTTGACTTGTGTTTTAAAAATAAAGGCCTCTAAAGTGCTTCAAATGGTTACTGGTGTTGTATCCACTCATTCTTCTTTGATGGCCTTTGTGCCCGTAACACTCCAAGTCAGTAAATCTCAATCCTTTAAAGAACATTTGGGATGCTGTGAGGTGGAATATTTGTATCATCAACACGGAGCCAACAAATATGCAGCAATTCATCATCTGCCAAAGATACAACTATACTATTTTACAGACCTTCCAACCTACACACAACAGAATGTGAGAAACTGCAACATTGCATGGCATGTGCAGGGTTTGTCTTCAGAAAACGTTCTTACCCCAGTTGTTGGGGCACTATAGCTGTTGACAGGAAACAAGATATTACTGTGTAATTGAGTTACTTGAAGACAATACTTAAACCCAAAACTATAGAATCCCAAAAAAAAAAAAAAATACAATTAAAAAAAATGTCAGTGATTTGCAATTCTGTTAAATCCAAATTAAGTCATCATGTCGTCGATCCAAGAGCACAATATAATGCTGATCACATTTAACCATTTTGATTGTTTCAAATGGGCCTAAGCAAAAAATGAAACTTTACTTGTGAAGAAAACTTAAAAATCTCATCAATTTAAACCACAACATGTATATTTATACTCACATTCAACATGCAGGAGGAGCTCACTTTTGGCACTTTGTCCACCAGGATATCTCACAGTGCACTCCACCTTCTTGTGGTCTTCTTCTACATTCCAAGTTCGTTCTATTGTTCTTTCCCAAATGCCGTCTGACAACAAGGAGTCAATGGTGCGGTCTGTTCCAGGAATGCCATTCAGAGACAGGGCAGGAGGAGCAGAAGAACATGTATATTTCACTTTACAGGTAACCCTGCTTTGAGCTCCCACCTTAGGAACATCAATGATGCTCATTTGGGGTTCTTGTGCCTGGTCTATAAAGATAAAAATAGAAATATGTTAATCTATGATGATTCCAACTAAAAAGTAGATATTTAAAATACTGGTGAAAGAGTGAAAGGAAAAGTTTAACATACATTATTTTAACCTAAACAACAGTTTAACTAGACAGACAAGTTTCTTGCTGCAATGGGAATAACTGCACAAGATATGAATATTTGTCAGATTTATTTTGCTTAATCAAGAAGTTGTTTTCCCAGACATGATTTTGTGCATTAAGTTGTTATGCTGCTCTTGAGAGTTGGTAAATAAAAGAAATGAGTGTGTCTGTTGTGAAGTCAACCAACTGGACCTGAGACGAACAAAGATTATATATATATATATATATATATATATATATATTATATATATATATATATATATATATATATATATATATAAAATCCTTCTTTGTTTTTGTTATAGAATCCTTCTTTGTTCCTCTGCTCCCGCAAGGAAGGAGGCAGAGGACTAGTGAGTGTGAGAACCACTGTCCAGGACGAAACAACTAAGATCCATAAATACATCAGGGACAAAGCCTCAACAGACAATGTGCTCAGTGAATGTCTCAGACAACAGGGAACGGAGGTTGAAGTGCCAGAGATACCATCATGGGAGGACAAGCCCCTACATGGGATGTACCAGAATATGGACTGGAAACCCGGGATCAAAGTGGGAAACACCCCCAAAGGTGGTGGAGAACGCCAGAGCTAAGATCCTGTGGGACTTCCAGATCCAGACAGACAAAATGGTAATGGCGAACCAACCAGACATTGTCGTAGTGGATAAACAACAGAGGAAAGTCGTTGTGGTAGATGTAGCAATACCAAGTGATTGCTACATCAGGAAAAAGGAGCACGAGAAACTGGAGAAATACCAGGGCCTCAGGGAAGAACTGGAGAGGGCCTGGAAGGTGAAGACCACAGTGGTGCCTGTGGTCATCGGGGCCCTCGGGGCAGTAACCCCCAAACTGGAGCAGTGGCTACAACAGATCCCAGGAACAACATCAGACATCTCAGTCCAGAAATGTGCAGTTCTTGGCAGAGCCAAGATACTGCGCAGAACCCTCAAGCTCCCAGGCCTCTGGTAGAGGACCCGAGCTCAGAGGATAAGAACCACCCGCGGTGGATGAGAAGGGAAATTTATTATGTGTGTGTGTGTGTGTGTGTGGGGGGGGGGGATGTGTGTGTGTGTGTGTTCTTACCTGAAACCATAATTTCGGTGCTTCTATCCAAAAATGAATGTCCCTGTGAGTGGTAGGAGGTAATTGGGGTTGATATCAACCCGGATAGAGTTTATCCTCATTGTGAGACATATCCAGCCGGTCTATTTTAAGACTACAATTGCGGTCTGACACAGAGCCAGTCAAATGTGTTATCCCATTATATCTGCTTAAAATATTTGATTGTCTTTGGTTGAATACGTCTGCGCGTCCATTACTTTGGTACAAGTACCAGACAACTTGGAGGCCACTCGGTTGGGCTTTGCTGTAGGAAAACTTGCAAGGAATGATGATACATGATCCTTTCATTCCCGTTACGCTTCCTGGAGTAGTGAAAGACCAGCCCAGATTGAGCATGTTTCCTGTAAAACACATAAAAACAAAACAATTTTGATTGGCCAGATTAGTTTAAGCCTAATTTTAAACTGATTTGCCCTGGACAGACCATAGATTTATACATTTGAATGTTGTGTCTGCAATAGTATTATTTGTTGTCTTGGTGGGAAAAAAATAGTTACATTAACTAATCGAGAGACTTACAGGGTTCAAATGCCTAAACTGCAAAAACACAAAATCCTACCAAATAATTTTGGTCTAGTTTTTACTGATAGCATCTTAATAAACCTGAAATAAGAGAAAATTAACTTACAAGTAACCTTTCAGCAAGATAAAAGAAGTGGCATTAAGTAAATAATTTCTTAAAATTGGGGAAGAAGTACTTGTTCCATTGGCAGATTATTTCACTTATAGCAAACCAGATTTGCCTGGATAGACACATTTTTATCAACAGTATCTATAAAGATACTTTTTTCAATGGAACAATTTACATAAATTAACAGCAGAACATGAGGCAGCCATGTATTTGTCAATTTTATTTACCATAAAACTCTCCATGTAAAATAATATTCAGTTGATGCGACATTCATCACTGAAGAAAATCTTTTTAGTTCCATTTGTTATAAACTCAAAAGACATTACCAAATGTTAATATATTCTAGTCCTGATAAAAGGTACAAAATGTTAACTGTGATTGGTACTCACGTTTTACCCGTATGGTGAGGCTCTTCTGCTGAGTCTCTCCTCCAGGAAAGTTTGCAGAACATGTCAGATCATTTCCATTGTCTTTAGCTGATGCTGTAAATGTCAGTGTGGAAACAGTTTTCTGCAAACTCCCCAAAGTTTTAATATCTCTGGTAACTGGCATGTTAGAGTAGGTCCATTCGAGAACTGGTGCATTGCTGGAGCAAGTATAAGAAGCTTCACATGTTACTTGGTTTGGAACTCCTTCAACATATTCAACTGAAGTAGAGCTAATGCTCAGTGATAAAATGGAGCCTAAAAACACAAAGAACGAAAGGATGGTTAAAGCTTTTCCAGAAAGACAACCTAAGTTAGCACGAGGGCGACGCTGATTGATCTTGGGAGTTATCACTCACAGCTTGCAATTAAGGTTTTAGATGTTCTTGCTGTTACCACCTGGGTGCTGGACAGTGCACTCAATCACTTGAACGTCTCTCTCTAAGACTAAAGTGCCTGTTAAGATAACTTTAGAAGTGCCATCAGATAGCTGAGTGTTGGAAACTCTTTTGTCTTTCATTGCGATGTTGAGGCTGAGAGTTGGTGGACTGGTGGAGCATGTGTGTTCAGCAGAACATTGCACTGTTACAGATTTTCCAACTTTTCTTTCTCCAGTTTGGCGCTGTGGGAGACGGCTGCCTCTCCAGTAGCTCTTCAGTTTTTAGCTCTTTTTTAACTTTTTATGTTGCCTCTTCAACACAGAAGAGGCTGTGTGTTTTTTATTTATCCTATGGATAATTCCAAACTTCTCACTTATTCGAGAGAGGAACTGCTGGACTTTAGAACAATGGGACAAGCCGGCATAAGACACAACATTCCGGTGGAGTTGAGGAGGAGACCGAGGGGCTGCAAGGCTGGGGCTAAGCTAAAGGCTAAGCTAGCGGACAACAGGAGGCGCTACAAGCCATCGATTCCCACTGTAAAAATGGGGAATGTGAACTCGCTGCCGAACAAGATGGATGAGCTGTCTGCACTGAACAACCAGCGGATCTACAGAGAGAGCAGCTTGTTCATCTTTACAGAGACATGGCTGACCCACCTCGTGCCGGACGCTAACGTGGACCTGCCAGGATTCACCGCTGTGAGGGCTGATAGGGACACGAAAGCGAGTGGTAAAAGAACAGGTGGGGGACTCATCATGTATGTGAACAACAGATGGTGTAACCCAGGACATATCACTGTAAAGACTGTTTGGTGTTGTCGGGACCTCGAGCTACTAGTCGTTAGCTTGCGGCCATACTACCTGCCGAGGGAGTTCAGTCACGTGATCTCCATCTGCGTTTACATCCCACCGAGAGCGGACGCTACCACTGCCTGTGAAAAAATCCACTCTGTCACAGCAAGGCTACAGACAAAACATCCTGACGCTTTATTATAATCTCTGGGGACTTCAACCATGTGACCTTGGACTCTACTTTGGCCACTTTCCACCAAGCTGTTGACTGCCCCACCAGGAATAACAGGACAATCGACCTCCTGTGCCAATGTGAGGGATGCATACAGAGCAACACCCCTCCCCCCACTAGGGAAGTCAGATCACAACATCGTTCACCTACAGCCACTGTACACCCCCCTGGTCCAAAAGCAGCCTACAACAGCTCGCTCCATCAGGAGGTGGTCCCCTGAGATGGAGAGTGCTCTGAGAGACTGTTATAACACCACGGACTGGGATGCACTGTTCAGCCCGCATGGCCAGGACATAGAGGGGCTGACACACTGCCTGACGGACTATCTGAACTTCTGCGCAGATGTGGTATCCCCTGCTAAGACTGTCCACTGTTACCCTAATAACAAGCCTTGGGTAACGCGGGAAGTCAAAACTGTCCTCAACAAGAAGAAGGTTGCCTTCAGGAAGGGAAACAGGGAGGCCATGAAGGCAGCACAGCAGGAGGTGAAGCAGTGTGTGAGGGAAGCAAAAGACAGCTACAGGAGAAAGGTGGAGCAGAAGCTGAGAGAGAACAACATGAGGGAGGTCTGGGAAGGTGTGAGGACCATCACTGGCCTCAACACAAAGACCAGAGTCGTTGAGGGAACAATGGAGAGGGCAAACGAACTGAACAACTTCTTCAACAGGTTCAACCAGTCTGTGCCCCCCCAACCCCCTCTCTCACTGCAGCCACCTCTGCTCCTTACCACACACCTCCCCACAGACAACAAAACACTGACAACCCCCCCACACACCTCAGCACAACCTCCACCCCACATCACCACAGACCAGGTCAGAGAACAGCTGAGGAAGCTCAAGCCCAGGAAAGCAGCAGGGCCGGACCAGGTGTCCAAGGCTGCTGAAGACCTGCGCTGCTGAACTGGGAGAGCCACTACAGCGGATCTTCAACCTCAGCCTGCAGCTAAGGGAAGTGCCCACCCTCTGGAAGACATCCTGCATCGTCCCAGTGCCAAGAAGAACAGGCCCAGCGAGCTGAATGACTTTCGGCCCGTGGCACTCACTTCACACCTGATGAAGACGTTGGAGCGGCTCTTCCTCGGCCTCCTCAGACCTCAGGTGGAACATGCTCAGGACCTCTTGCAATTCGCCTACCAGGCAGATGTTGGTGTGGAGGATGCCATCCTCTACCTGCTGCACCGGGCCCACTCCCACCTGGATAAGGGCAGTGGCACAGTGAGGATCCTTTTCTTGGACTTCTCCAGTGCCTTTAATACAATCCAGCCCCTTCTGCTCCAGGAAAACTAAATAGCATGGGAGTGGACCAGCACCTGGTCACCTGGATCCATAGTTACCTCACCAACAGGCCGCAGTATGTCAGGCTGAAGGACACCGTGTCTGACACTGTGGTCAGCAGCACAGGAGCCCCTCAGGGCACAGTGCTGGCCCCTCTTCTCTTCACCCTGTACTCCTCTGACTTCCACTACAACTCGGAGCTGTGTCACATACAGAAGTATGCTGATGACACAGCCATAGTCGGAGTATCAGGGACGACGGAGAGGAGGAAATCGCTGTGAGGGACTTTGCTCTCTGGTGCCACACAAACCACCTGGAACTCAACACCTCTAAGACGAAGGAGCTGGTTATAGACTTTGGGAGGTCCAGACCAATGCCGAGACCAGTCGTACTAGAGGGAACGGAGGTTGAGGTCGTGGGCTCCTACAAGTACCTCGGGCTGTGGCTGGACAGTAAACTGGATTGGTCAAAACACACCAGCCACCTGTACGGGAAGGTGCAGAGCAGGATGTACTTCCTGAGGAGACTGCGGTCCTTCAACATCTGCAGCAAACTGCTGTGGATGTTCTACCAGTCAGTGATCGCCAGTGTCCTCTTCTACACCGTGGTGTGCTGGGGAGGCAGCACATCCAAGAAGGACACGTCCAGACTGGACAAACTGATCAGGCGTGCCGGCTCTGTGGTCGGCATGAAGCTGGACTCTCTGGTGACGGTGGCAGAGGCGAGGACACTGAACAAACTGCTGGACATCATGGACGATAGCAGCCACCCTCTACATGCCGTCATCAGCAGCCAGAGGAGCCGATTCAGTGACAGACTGCTGCTTCCCAAGTGCCGGACCAATAGATTCAAGAACTCCTTTGTCCCCCACGCCTTCAGACTGTACAACTCCTCACTGGGGGGTCGGAGGTGACACAGGACAGAGGGAAGAAGGAGTAGTTTTTCTACAAATGTGGAACTCCATATTTATCAGGCCAAACCATACAGTGCAATACCATATCACTGGTCAATCTATCCACCAAACTGCTATAATTTCCTTTTGTGTTGTATTTATATTCTTTGTTTTGTATTTAATTTGTATTTTGTGTATGCTTACTGTGTGCCACATTTTTGCCTGTGAGCTGCTGGTAACTATAATTTCCTGAGGGAGTCTTCCCAAGGGATCAATAAAGTCAAGTCTAAGTCTAAGTCCAAAGATTATAATTCGTGGTGGCTTTGGCTGTGCTACAAAGAAAATGTAAAAAGTTAAAAGCTTTTTCAACAACATACTAATGCACTGATT